TTTAATAGATGGACGCCCAGTGTGGTGTTCTCTCCCTACTACTATTTAACTTCAGCATCTCGCAAGTTTCGTCTTCTCATTTGCTGAACACGGCTAGAGAATGGCGCCTGCAATGGCTTTGACGACCTGCGTTTTGTGTTGTATGCAACCCTTTTAGGGTGAAGATTAGTCGGTATGAAATTTAAGAGAGTAAAAAGAACCTATTTAGCTGTCGAAAACTTGAGACCACTTATTACTTTCTTGGCCCTTCCTGACATTCTAGTAGAAGATATGAGGGAATTGTTACTTTCCCAAGAGCTGCATGATGGCTTTGGTGTCAATCGCTTTGATAAGTTTGAAGTAGTAACTTTCCTAAAATTGGGCAAATAGTTTTCTAAATCTCCGCATCATAAGATCTTCTAGAGGTTAGAAAAAATTGGTTCCTTTTGATTTTGTGGAACTTAAATTCTCAACCTGTTACGAAAGATACGTACATTTATTTTAGAGCCACATTTGTATAGATAATATGCCAGCTTGACCTGAAATATTATCACCTTACGAGTCCAATCGGTCTCGATAGTTTTTTTTTTATCTCATTTGTCTCTAGAAGGATTCAGTGTTTCAATTTCGTTGGGACAAAGTCAAAGCAAAAACAACAAGTATTTTTTAAGCAAAAAACAAAACCGACTTCAATTCATATATAAAAATTTAAGATTATCGTTAATTGTCGGATCTAAACAAAATTAGTATGGGGCCATTCTAGAGGTACCACCTTTCCGATGAAAAAAGATTTATCGAAATCGGTTAACGTAGTCCAAAGTTACGCGGTGACATACATAACAATTAAAAAAAAATTAAAAAAAATTCTGACGAACTGATAACCTCCTCCTTTTTTTGAAGTCGGTTAAAAAGAGATCATAAAACAGTACAAATCAAACGTTTCCGAGTCAAAAGTTCGCTGATTTAAGCCACATGAAGCATTTCGCACGCCGCAAGCCGAGTGACTGTGTTGAGCTGTGATTTCAATTGCCATCGAATGCGCTCTGCTTTCAGCACTCCCACTGCCTCTCCCACCCACACACCATGCAGCCACAATTCTCGTATACGCTAAAGGATATTAATTTCCCAAAGGTGTTTTGGTTTTGCACACGACAACGCGACGCAACAATAGCAACAAAACCCACATTCACAGCGACGACATTTCACTCTCAAGCAAAAACTTAACCAAAAAAAAAGAATGACAGAGAAGTGAGTATGAGAAGCGGTGGTTCGGTTGGAACGCGGCTGCAGGCGGATGACTACATCCGAATGTGGCATACATTGTGCGTAGTTTTGAAACATTTGGTGAACGTAAGTGGTGATTGCAGCGTTAACTGAATTTGCCATGAGAGACAAGTTCATGCCGGCAGAAGAAGTGGCAGATGCAGTTGAAATGAAATGTGTTGCGAAGCGAACATTTCTGCGTTTGGTCATCAGGTGGCTTTAAGTGTGACTGGACAGTGGATTGATTAGGTCGATAGAGACGTACAGACGGTTCGGAAGAAGTCAGCTGGAAAAAAATCTGTATTCCTATTTTCAAATTGAAATTCAATTTCGCTTTAAGCGGGGAGAAGGAAGATAGAATATGTTTTAAACTTTAACTGCGGACAGGCGGTCCCACAGACGGCCGAGCTCATGGCGAAGAAGACTGGAAAGGCTTTGTGTGTTTTAGTATGATAGAATTTTTTGGTTGCTTACAATAAAAATTTATTATATCGACATTAACAGCGCACTTCTGGCAACTGTCTTTCAACTCATCGAAGTCTTTCGAAAACCAAAAGACTTTCGTAAGACAATTTTCAATTCTGGTAGCTATGTTGAAAGCTCTTTTCTGTCTTTTGACAGACTAAATGAAAGAATAAGGAGGTCTTAACGTTATTCGGTTTTTCTTTAAGCAACAAGTCTTCTAAAAATTAAATTTAAAATATTTGTTTTTGTTATTTTATGGACTTATAACAATTATATTCAATAATTTGAAAAAATGGTAGAAGTGATAGCTATTTCGGAAATCACCACATTTCCTCATCAGACTTCTTTCAGTAGGATTCGATTAAATTTAAAATATATCAAATAAAACTTAATAAGAAAGAAAAATAAAATAGACGATTTTCTAAAAATTAAATGAAACTAAAAAATATATTTTCCTTTTCAAAACAATGAAATCTAAGAATTAAAAAAAATTAGCTTGAAAAAATTAAATTCCTAAATATATAAAAAAAATATATATTTTTTTTTTTCAAACCATGAAATGCAAAAGTTAAAAGATAATTAAGGTAANTTTTTCAAAACAATGAAATCTAAGAATTAAAAAAAATTAGCTTGAAAAAATTAAATTCCTAAATATATAAAAAAAATATATATTTTTTTTTTCAAACCATGAAATGCAAAAGTTAAAAGATAATTAAGGTAAAATTTAATGAATAAAATAAAAATAAAATATGTCACTAAATAAAAAAAGAAATTAAACAAAGAATATTTTCCTTTTAAAACAATAAAATAAAAGAAAAAAATTTTATTAACAAATTAAGTTTCCAAAAATTAAATCAAATAACAATTAAATTTACTTTTAAAAACAAGAAAACCTAATATCCAAAAGAAAGTTTAACTAAACAATTTTTAAATATAATAATTATGTATACTTATAGTTATGTTTACTATAAAAAAAAATCGCTGCCCGAGGATTCGAACTAGAGATGGGCGTGGGATAGCGGGACCGGCGGGACCCGCGGGACCTACGGTACTGATTTAAAATTGGCCGGGATGGGCGGTATCTGGAAGATCTGTAAAAATATGGCGCGTCCCTCCCGCCAAAATCCTTTCCCGACACTCCCGATAAAACCGCAACCCCCGAAAATTCACAAAATCTTCCTTAAAACGATGTTTGAAATATGCACTTTTCTTAAGCAAAACAAAATATTCGGAAGATATCAAAAATTGATAAAAATAACGATAACAAAATCGGTAACAAAAATAACTTAGAAAATCGATTGAAAAATCGATAACAATATCGATAAATAATCGATAACAAAATCTATTATAAAAAGTATCGATAATAAAATCGTTAAAAACATCGATAACAAAAGCGATAAAAATATCGATTATTATATCGATGTTTCGAAGATATCGATAGCAAAATCGATAACAATATCTATTAAATTATCGATAACAAAAGCGATAAAAATATCGATTATTATATCGATAAGTCCCGAGAATCCGGAAAATATCTAAAATCCCAAAATAGTTCACAGATTGAGTCTCTATGTCTCCATCTATATCCTTTCCTCTATAATTACCTTTACTTTAATCTTTCTTCTTCTATCTTCATCTTTACTTTTATCGGTGTCCTCACCCTAACTTTTTCTTTACATTTATCTTTGTTTTTACTTTTTATCATTTTCTGTTTATCATTTTCTTCATCTACATATTCCCCTTCACTTAAGTAAAGTGTNGGAAAATATCTAAAATCCCAAAATAGTTCACAGATTGAGTCTCTATGTCTCCATCTATATCCTTTCCTCTATAATTACCTTTACTTTAATCTTTCTTCTTCTATCTTCATCTTTACTTTTATCGGTGTCCTCACCCTAACTTTTTCTTTACATTTATCTTTGTTTTTACTTTTGTGTTTATCATTTTCTTCATCTACATATTCCCCTTCACTTAAGTAAAGTGTTTAAATTTACATTGATCTTAATTTTTGCCTTTATCTTACGCATATTTTTGTTTTGTTTTTATTTTTACCTTTGCCTTTATTCTTTTCTTTATCTATGTACATACGTACTCCCCTTTACTTTCATTCTTGTATTGGTCTTTTTCTAAGTGTTATTCTTTAACTCAAGAAGTACTTGTTTCAGCCCCAACCATTTCCGTTTCACCATTTCCATTACATCATTTCCGTGTGCAATTTCCACTGAATTTGCAAATTTACTCCCAACCAACTAACCGCCGCTAAAGGAGTTTCACTTCAAACATAGTTTCGTAGAAATTGTATAGAATTCTTGAAAATTCTTGAAAATTAATATTTTTCGTTTTCTGTTTCCCTTCAGCAGACTTCCAATAATAATAACCAATTGTTTATGTTACCATTTTTTAAAAGTAACTGTTTTGTTTATGTGTTCCAAAAACCCTCAAAAATACAAAGGGGACCCATAAGAAATCAATAGTATTAAGAAATGGTAAAATAAACAATTCGGTACTATTATTAGGCTCCTCAGAAACAGAGTGTTCCGATCGAAAAATATTGGTTTTCAGCAATTCTATACTATTTCTACGAAAAACTGTTGTTTCCCATATAAAATATCTTTTGATTTAAAAACAAAAAAAAAAACAGGAGTATATTTTCTCGATATAGGACAATCATAGGGCGTGAGAGCATTAAATTTCGGACTTTACTTTTATATATAATATAAATTTAAATATGTATATTTCCCGTAATATATGCTTTGGTAACTTCATAAGGAATTTCGACCTTGAGCCTTTCGAAAGAGAACATATAAACACACTAAACTGCGCTAAACAAAATGTTTTAATCAGGTAAAAAGCAAAAACATAATTAATCTTTACAAAGAATAACTATTTGATTTATCAATGCAGAAGAGGATTTAAACCATTGAAGATAGAGTTTACCCTTCCGTAGGATAGTAGATATACGAGGCCGTAAACTTATAAAATTTGTATGCTTTGCAAGTTAAGATGACTGTACCCTTAGGGATTTTTTATGTTATATATTTTAAGTTTTCGTGTCATAAATACATCGATTAAATTGAATAAAATTTATTTTATTACCCTACCCCATGTAGAAGTAAAGAATTTGGTTGCTTTGCTCCATTTATTTAACTCAGGGTGCATAAGTGCCATTTAAGAAGTAAGAAAGCTTACGAAAACAACTGATTCAAACGGAATGTGCAATAATACATAGTTATAAGTTATAAGATTACAGTTATAGTTTATAAAATTCGAAAAAATAGCTTAACAAAAGCTACTTTTATTTGGTAGAAAATCCAAGTGGTGTGAAAAACATATTCGCCCGTTGGCACTGGCAGTACTTCGGTTGCCATGTGATTGATGTGACCCAGAGGTAGTTTATCAACGATTTCATCTTGCTGAAAGCGAAATTATTTAAATAATTTTAGATATATTAATTTATGTATGTATGTGGTTCATAGGTATGTTTATCTATCCATGTATGTATGTATGTAGCAATATGATTCAAAATAGCTAACGACTTACCGGTCCATATGGGCAACTTCTATTTATGGTCGAATATTTCTCGAACCAGCTGTGAAAGTATTTAACAACAGGATTATTGCGTTTCTTTATATATTTGCATGCGTCGATGGTGAAATTATATAAAAAAGGTTTATAGCCATTAGCTTTTCGTAGCAAGGCGAAGGACATCTAAAATTTTCAGATTTTTAATACTATTTTTATTTATTTTTCTTAAAAATTTTATTTTTTCTTAAAATTTTTTATATTCTCTACATACCGAAATATTGTTAACTGGCTCATTTCTTGGAAATTTTGCACGTAATGTTAAGTATTTATAAGTGCGATTAACAGCCTTTAAACGGCAAAGGGGGAAAGTAAGGTAAGATTTGTCGACTTCAATGCATTCGACGATTGGTAAACTCCACCGCTGGCATTACAGCAATCTGCATAAAGTGTATGATGTATATGTATATAAATGCATTCTGCTGTGTTGTGTAAGTTTTTCTGCTTTATATTAGTATCACTTACAATAAAAATGCTGCCGATGATCGATGCGCAAAAAATACGTTTCTTCATGCCTACTGCTGGATTGACAATGACGTATAGCCGCCAAAAATTTAATGGACTAGAATGAATAACTAAATCTGTCAGCCGTTAAGTAAATGTATTAATTTACATATATTAATGGATTTTCATCGAGTCAGCGCGCAGCTTAAGTGGGGGACATTAGTGCGTATTACTTTGACACTTGAGCCAGAGTTCGTTTCATAGTGCTACATTTCTAGACATAATCATATGTGTATAAAGGTACATACATACATACTAGTACATAATAGCTAACGTATTGTAACATCGGCTGATTCAACTGTGGTAAGTCTGTCAACGTCCAAATTTGCCAAATAGCAGATATCGAACAACGGGCCTAAATATCTCTTTCATATTTTAATAGAAATTTCATTGCAGATGCATAGATATGTAACAACACATTATTACATTTTAATTGCTTATTTTATATTAATCAGGTATATCTGATTTGGTAATCAGAATTAATTTATTTTCCGCGCAGTAATGTGGTAGTGGTTTGAAGTCGTATTGGAATTGAACTCTATTGACTCAGAACTGAAAATATTATAGTGCCTAACTAAAATATATATATGTATACTTATATATATATTCGTTACCTTAATATAGAAAGGCCCACTATACTATATTTGTTTATATACGAAATGGTTGAACGGCTTGAAAATAAGGCGTTAGTACGGCTTGGCAAAGCATTGGCATTATTTACTTAGAACATAAATACGAGTAGGTTAGGTTTGAAATTAAAGGTTATTTTAATGTTTTCGTGTCCAGTAAACGTCTTTTTCATAACTACTTCGAGAATTGCTCTCGTTACGAGTTTCGAACTACCCCTGATGATGCCTAAATAGTCCCAAAACTGGCATGAAGTAGTTCTGATGTGGTTCTGAAAAAGGTCGCGAACTTGCCCCGAAAGAATTCCGATCAAGTCTTGAAACAAGTCAGAAATGGTCGCCTCCTAGTTCTATAATGATCCAAAACTAGTCCCGAAATGTTTCTGAACAAGTCCCGTAAGAAACCCGAAATAGTCCTAAACTAGTATCCGAAATGGTCCCGAAATAGACCTAAAATGGTCTGGAAATAATCCTGAACAGGAACTGAAATGATCATAAAAGCCGTGAAATGATCTCGAACAAGTCCTAAAATGTTCCTAAACTACTCATGAATTCGTCCTGAATAGGTCTCGAAATGATCCTGAACAAGTCATGAAATGGTCCGGAAATACCTATTATGAATTTTGACAGTTGAAACTCATGCTTGCACTTGATGAATCGCAAAATGAGGAAGTGTAAACAATTTGCAGTGTACACTGAGGGAAAAACTGAAATGTTAAAATAACTCCGATCACCGTCATTTTTACAATTGTGCAAAGTTCAAGAAAACCTATTTGATTTAACATTTAAAAATGACCACATAACAATTTTAAGGTTGATTTAAAAATTCAATAGTCGATCTAACTAGAAATAATTTCAAATCAACATTGTTTCAGTTTTCTGCAAAATAACTAAAAGTCATTTTTACTTCCACACTGTTATTGTTAATTTGAAATTGCAACATTGTCGAATCAAAGTTGTTTTGCGGTAGATCTTACTTTCTTGAATTGTATCTAGCAACAAAACGTACATATGAATAACGGTTCCTGGTTTACTGATCTACATTGCTGCATGAAAAGAAGCTTCATTTGCGAAAAATTTTTGACGCGTGAAGTTCGGTTGTGAAAGCAAAAATTTAAAAAGGTGATAATCAAAAGATTTTTATAGAAATGGAAAGTGAGGAAGTTTTTGAAAATGTATTCTACGCAATAGGTGGCGAAGTGATTAATATAACTCCAGCTTCTGGCGAAGTGATTAATCTAACTTCAGGCTCTGGCGAAGTTATTAATACTATAACTCCAAATTCATTTCTGAGCGAGGAAGAAAACGACGACCACAAATTAAAGGCGCTTTTAAAAGGTTTTGGTATGGAAAATGTGTTTGAATATTTAAAATGTGAGTATTAAAGAATAAATAAAAGTGCAGTGTAAACATTTTGTATGCTTAAATCATTGAATCCAAAAAAAGATAGTTTTCCTGAGTGGTTTCATGAAAAATCTATTTGCGATAAATCATCTAAAGTCGAAATATACAGTGGCGAACATAATTGAGTGTATGGTGATTTTTTTTATTATTATTCATGCTATTACGATATAAACCAAACTTTATACAATATTTAGAAAATATGAAAAATGTTTAATTATACAGTAACATCGCCTATGAGATTTGAGTAAAACAAGTGTAAATTTTATGTGGCTAAAGAATCGCGTTGAGTTTTAATAACTATTTTGCTGACGGCTCTTGCGTTGTTTTTTTCTTATAAGAAGTGCAATTTATAAAAATTGGCGTTGATTTTTTTTAATTCTTCCAAATGCTCTTGTGCTTATTCTTCCACAAGAGTGCAAAAACAG